AAGTGGATCTCAAAGAGACATTTGTACATCCATGCTCATAGCAGCATTACCCAAGGCAGTCAAAGGTGGCAGCATCCCAAGTGTCCATCGATGGATGAACGGATAAGCAAGATGTGGTGCACACACACACATACACACTCACACACATACACACACACTGGAATATTATTCAGCCTTAAAAAGGAAGGAAATTCTGACACCTGCTACAACATGGATGAACCTTGAGGACATGATAGTAAGTGAAATAAGCCAGTTACAAAAAGGCAAATACTGCATGAGTCCACATATGTGGGGGACCCAGAGGAGTTTAATTCACAGGGGTGGGAAACGGAGAGTGGTTGCTAGCAGATGGGGGAGGGAAAGAGGGGAGTCAGTGTTTAATGGATATGAAGTTTCATTTTTGCAAGATGGGAAGAGTTCTGGAGATAGGTTGCCCAACAGTGTGCAAAAACTCCACACTTTTGAACTGTACACTTAAAAATGGTTAAGATGGTCATTTTTATGCTGTGTATTTCACCACAGTTGAAAACAAACAGAAAAAAAAAGGCATACCCTTAGAAACAATGACAGCTAAATGATTATTACATCATACATACATTGGGACAGATACAATTTCAAGCTGTTTATACAAACGAACATTAAATGTAGCTAACTTTAAGAGTCAATAATTATGTAAGGAAACTCCATTGTCCTGGTTTTAGCAAAGGCATCCTTGTTTTCAAAAGGTTGACAAGAAAGCTCTATCAGACAGTGGAGGTGGTGGGGAAAGCTGGACTGATTTCTAGATTCTTTTGAATAGAGAAAGATAACCAAGCTCTTTTTCTAGGCAGGGGAAAATGTCTTGGCAAGGAAAAAGTATTTTCTTTCCCTCTCCAAATACTAAACAAACATGACTTGACTTTAGACGGACTTTTAGATTATTTCCAAGAAAAGGTTGGCATGGCACACTGCCTTCCAACTTCCTTGAAATTGTGGCATGTGCCCTTTTATGTTAGTAGACGTCTATTTGCTTTTTCCGAAGTGTGGTGGATTTTGAGTACATACACACATCATGCTTGCTCAGGTTTCTAAGTAAAGATGATTAAAAACAGCAAGCAAAGACTTTCAGCCTCAGAGGTGAGCCTCAGGATGTGGGAATGGTTTTTTGGTTTGGGGTTTTGTCTTGTACTGGCCAGGAATTCAAATGCACTTGAGAAACTGTGGAGAATTTGGTTTCAGTAATCGGCAACACCATGGTTTATAAAGGATGAAGGGTGTAAATCATGGATGGTTAAGTGTTTAAGCTTTGATGTCAAAACACCTGGACTCAACGCTGACGGTGCTGCTGTGGACCAGGTTGGTCCCCACATCAAGAGATTCAGACAGAGTGCTGGGAGGATCCTGGTTCCAAGAAAGGGCTTGGAGGGTTAGCATCATTGACATTCATGTTGATTCCATTCCTGGTGGGAAATCGAAATGGTCCAACATCCACAGTATTTTCTAACAGTGATGATAAAAATGTATTATAGGACAGAATTCTAAATTTGTTTTCAGGATGCTGTTGCTTCCTATGTAACCTAAAGACTTTATCACAACTGGAATCACATGCAAATTCAATTCTTACGTAAAATGCTTTGGCCAAATCCTCTCGGTGGCATTTGCTCGCCTCCTTGGGTGGCAGAGCAACCACTGTCTTTTCTTTCTCAATGGCTTTCAACTCACATGGTCCATCAATCTGTGAAAAAAGCAGAAATGCTGTTAGGCAAATTGGTTTTGTATGGATAGGTCTTTTTAAAGAATAATATACACAGAGAAAGTAGGCAGATCTTAGGTATACCACTCAAATTTTCACAAAGTGACCCACATAACCAGCCTGCAAATCAAGGAACAGCCATTAGCAGGAGCTCCCTCATGCTACCTGCCCATTTGAAGGGTAACAGCTGTCATGAGCTCTGTCACCACAGATGTGTTTGGCTGGGGTTTGAAACTTGTGTAAACAGTAGCATGTAATATACACACTTTCGTGTCTGGTTTCTTTTACTCCAGCTTGTTAGTGGGATTCATGCATGATATTATGTGTAGTGATAGTTCGCTAATTTTCATGGCTGCATAGTATTCCACTGAATGAGTATATCATAACTGATTTATCTGTTCTATCTGTTCTACTGTGATGGATAGTTTCCAGTTGTTGGCTGTTACTGCACCTGTTTTAAAGCAAACTTATTTAATAGAATTGGAACTCACAAAGCTGACAGAGCAGGGCAACAACTGATAGATTTAGAACCCTGGACCTTGAACCTCTGTCATTCTCAGCCAAGTATGCACCAGCCTGCGGAGGGTGCCCCTTAATGATGTCAGGTGGTATTGCAGCCTGTTTTATGAGACATTTGCAATAACCTAAGAAAAGAGGGGAACCCAGCCAAGTTCTGGGGGGTCTGACAGGCCCCAGGAGGGAGCCATATGAAACACCTGGAGGGTGTGGGAGGACATGGTAACACAGAGGAGACCTCAGAATCAGGAAAACGCTAAGTACTTTTGCAAAATTATTCCCAGTATTCTGATATCCAGGACATGATAATCATCTTTGCCTTTTTGCAACATGTTCCTGGGCACTGGGAAGGAGGAAGAGGAGAGGCCTTGAGTAACCTCTTCCTTCAGTGGAACAGAAATGGCAAATTCCCTTTTACTCCTGGCCAGCCCTCCCCCTAACCCCACTCCATCCCCACCAGGATTTCCCAAATGCCTCCTCTGCTTAGAAATGCACTGCCAACCATGCCTGCTTCCTGGGGTTGCTTTTCACTGTGCCAGTGACCAGGAAGTAGGCAACGATTGCACAGATCATTCAACAGACTCCTCCCACTCTCCTGAGTGCTCCTT